CTTGGCTTGGAAAAAATTGGCGATTCTCTTTGAAAGATATTCTCCGGTTTGTGCAAAATAAAAATTCAAATAAGTTATTTTCATTCAAGTCTTTTGGAGTATTCCGACTACTTGAGTACCCCCAATCCAAAGAGATCAGCAAATAGGGATGAAAAAAAGTGGAAATGTTCTGCGACCTACACAAATATCGAGTTTATTTCAAATAAAATTAAAACAGCTACTTGAAATTTGCGGAGGCAAAATATAAATTATATGGAGGATTAGAATGTAACATAGATTACTCGGACAAAAGCGCTCCGAATCCTTAATTTTAATTCGAGTTTCCAAGTCATACTTCTGTTACAACTTCGTTAATTTACGCCACCTCTACCTCTGATGATTCCAAGATTTGAGCCTCACTAATGTCCCATGATGCAAAAAATATTTCTACGGATAATTAAACCGAAGCGTTTGTAGAATGCCACGACACTTTTAGTACAGCATTATTTACTCACTTACAAGGTTTGTACGATATTAAATTCAGGAAAAAATTAAATGAATAAATAAAAGAAAAGAGAGCTAACTAGGAATGACTGAAATATTACAGCTCCTTATTGTGGACGGAGAATCACTGACAAAATGAATACTGGTGAAAGGAAGGAGATGAGTTTCGTCCGATTTTATTTCTTCAATTTGAACCTTTTGAGGATAATAAACTTGACTTGCATGTTGCAAACGCAATTCTTGAATTTTTTTGACGAATAAAAAAGTCAGAAGCATAAAAATATAAATGAAGAGGAAAAACGGGAAACGCACTTCGTTCTTGGTGACCCTATCCCAATCCAGAAGAAGAAATTCGAGCGAAATGTCATCCAAGCAGATGGTCATAAGCTGATCAGCATTCGCGTCAGAAGCTGGAATACCAAACGCTTCTTTCAAAGCAGATGGATTAGGGAGATCGAAGACGAACGACTCGTTGAAGACCGGATTCAATGTCCGCTTTTTCACGTGGGTTTTCTTCTTCGCGATACGCTGATTTTTGTACAGCAAGTAAATCTTCACGTACGGATCTGAAAAATAGAGATTTATTGAAAAAATTCTGGAAAAAAATGAGACGGAAGCAGGAGAAAGCGAAATCAAGCAATGAAAACAGCTCCTCGCACTTGATGTAGATTTCAAATGAAGTACAGTACTGTACAGTACTTCCGAGTTTTGAAAGAAACAACATTTTTCATGTTTCTCTCAGTGAAAATCATAACACTTTTTAATCATAACGGTTGAGTAATGGAGGAATGTAAGGTCATAAGGCGTTTCTTTCTCATGATCTATTTTTGATGGCACATCTCTTGAGAAAACGCTAAGCAAAAACGAGATACAGTAATTGTGTTCTCAAGCATAGGAAACGTCAAACATATCATAAATCTTTGCTCCGCCTGGTTAAGATATGGAAGGACTATAGTGTGATATGCTCAGCCAACACCATTGAACGCAAGGAAATGGCGTGACTGTACTGTACTATAAGCATAGGAAACGTAAAACATATCATAAATCTTTGCTCCGCCTGGTTAAGATATGGAAGGACTATAGTGTGATATGCTCAGCCAACACCATTGAACGCAAGGAAATGGCGTGACTGTACTGTACTAGCAAAAAATTCAGGTCGTTCCGCATTCCGAGCTTCGGGGATAATAGAAAAAAAATACGGCGGGGAGTTGGGTATTTACCTGAAAGGCCGGTTATATCCATTGTTATCAGTGTGATAAATTTGACAAAACTTGGGAAGTATCCCAAGGCGAGAACTTTCATGCAATCCTTCATGAATTGATTACTTTGCAACAAAGTAATATTAGGTCCAATATTCTCTCTGCGTCCCGAGACGCCTCGACAGCGACATGAACTCTTATCCTTATCCATATCACAAACGGCTTCATTATAAAACCAAATGATCTTTTCCGCCCCAAAACTCTGTTGCTGCCCAGATCCCTCTTGAAGATAGAAAGCCCTTTTTCTTGTCTTATATTCCTCCGATCAAACCGCGGATCAAAGTTTATATAAATCATTGTTTTTGCCTGCGCGAGTTCAGTGTTGTCTATAACCTCGTAAGGAGACGAGTACGTTGATAGAAAATATATCTGTTGAAGATATACGGACTCTATATTCATTCCAGACTTGAATGTTGGATACTCAAAGAAGTTCCCCGGACATCAAGGAGAAACATAAAGTTAAATTAATAGTTGGAAGGTTTCCGAATTAAAAGTTTACAGGGAAGGAGACAAGACACGTTGTCAAATTTTTATTTTATTCCGGAACCGGACAACACCATCTTCGGCAAGCTACGAGCTTTCAGAATGACAACAGTAAGGCGGTTAGCCGCCGGCTGATGACACAACGAAACCAGTAGTTCACCGCGTCCCTGGGATCGGATCTAGAGTCATGGAAAGAGGGTTAAGCATAGGAAACGTCAAACATATCATAAATCTTTGCTCCGCCTGGTTAAGATATGGAAGGACTATAGTGTGATATGCTCAGCCAACACCATTGAACGCAAGGAAATGGCGTGACTGTACTGTACTAGCAAAAAATTCAGGTCGTTCCGCATTCCGAGCTTCGGGGATAATAGAAAAAAAATACGGCGGGGAGTTGGGTATTTACCTGAAAGGCCGGTTATATGGTAGAAGCCGTTCGATGCTCGAAAGTCTTACTGTTGTCATTCCGCCAATCGGCGGCCGACTACTGTGTTGCTTTGGTCATCAAGTGGCGCAGGGACCCTAGCCTAGATCTCAGTACCTTTCTCCCAATGTAGAAAGTATTGTTATCTTCATGCCAACTTCTTCCCATGGCGGGTGGAAAAAAAAATGATACAAGCGTATTATCTATACAACGTCACCAAAAATTTCGAAAAAATTCCTTGATCCGGAAGATAATAGTTTAAGGACTTACTCATACATTTACAGAAGGTTCCCGAAGACTAAAATCTTGTTCCCACGGAGAATTTCTCCAGATGATAAATTTAGGGATCTCTCATTGGGAATTATTTAAAAAGGCAACAGTTCCCGGACACTGGAAGCACATGGAGTTGAATGATTCGGAATAACTGCCGATTCTTGCTTTCGTGAATGAAATCACACAGCTGGATTTCAATCCCAAAAAAGAATGCGGGCAACTGAACCACTCGGGCGATTTTTCAAATCCCGCGCGTTGACATTTTTACTGACCTTCAAGCTTCTGGGAGCGATTTCCTTCATGATGGGAACCGGCTGTTCCATATTCACACCCTCGAGTTCCGTCGATGACATTGGATAAATTACTTCGCCGATCACGTCGTCCCTCGAATAGCGGTCGAAACTCAAAATGACGAAATGCAGCGACATTTCCTTCGATGCAAAATAAAACTATTGAAACATGGACACACTCTTAGAAAGACAGAAGTAAAAGCTGATTTTCCCCAATAGCGTTTCCGGGTTACATTATACTGTATCTGGCCTCCCGTGCGTCGGGCCACTTAAGCGAATCAACAGAGCGAAGATATCAAGGATGTACACATAGTATGGACGCCCCACAATTCGCTCATCTTCAATGAAGAATAATACGAGGTCAGGTGGAATAGATTCGAATATTCCCACCGTCCTCCGGGTTCGTCATATCAACGCAATAGGCGAGCGTTCTACTGTACACATACAGTTACGCGAAGTAATTCCATTTCGAGTGGCAGGGGTTGCATAAATTAGGCACCAGGCGGTAAGAAATTCATAACGCTCTTTATCTCAGCATCGAAGGGTTTCCAATGAGGGTTGAAGAGCCGGTTATCGCAGTCAGCCTTTCAAGCCATCAGATCAAGCAACACATCTCGGGACTCCAACTGAATTCAAGACAGCGTTCCGTCAATTGTTCCCCGCATATAAGGTATTGAAAGGGTGCTGCGGAAATGTGCACGCGTCCCGAAAAGGCTCACATTCTTTCGTGCCCGTTCACCAGCTTTTATTTCTCGGGGATACACAATCCAGGATGAAACTTGTTTAATATTTTTTTTCCTTTTTCCGTTCTATTCAGCATTTCAAAATTGATATATTCTTGAAGGAAAAATATGTGAAGTTGTTTCCAACATACTAGTTTAATATCATATGACAATCTTGAAGAGAACATCGTCTAGAAAGATATCTTTTTCGCAATTTTCTCATTCGCTCTCTTCATTCAGGTGTCAAATCTACCTCTGAAAATTTATTAACCATTATCAAAAACGGTTTTGCTTTCAACATTTAGCAAATCCAGGGGGAAAATTCCTTGGCAATAATTTTTTTCAAGAGTCAACATTGCATAGACTAGATTTTTCATTGAGATTCCCCATCTTCCGATTATTTAACAAATTTTCCACTTTCCCAAACAGAGAAAACTCGAACACCCAGATCTGAAGAAACATGAAGCGGTGGAAGCAATTTCATTTTATTCTCTATGAACGGGGAGACGATGTTATACCATTTTTAGACCGAACACCCAACCGCAACATTCCACATCACCTGCTTAGGCACAGCCATGGCATTTAAACCAATTGAATAGGCTCTAGAGAAATATTTTCGGGATGCATTGCGCGTTTGAAAGAATTTAAAGCAAAGCATCAACATTATGTGTAAATGTCGAATAAAAACGTATCATGACTTTGAGAAGAACTAATATTCTACATTACCAAAAAACAAACCGAATTGAGGATGAGAAAATATTGTTCAAACATTTCTTCGTGCACGATATGGTTACGAAAAAATTGAAATTTTAAAGTTAAATTAAAACGTGAGAAAAACCTATACATATTAAACCTTGAAAGGAAAACCCAACATGGAGAGAGCCACAAAGTAATCGCCGAAGGTTTTCTTTCTGGAAGATGTCTTCTTTCCAAAAAAATTTAAAAATCATGAAATCAAACTACGACGTAGGAAACAACTTCCATTACAGTAGTATTCCTTCGAGAAATGGAATTTTTTATGATGGCAGATTAAAATACCCGAAAAAAGTTCAGGATTTTCTTCCAATCATGTCTATTTATAATTCTGAAAATATTGCATGTCATTCATACTGAAAAGGCGAATAAAATGCACCCACCATTAAAAAAACTTTTTAATGGCTGAAAAAGTAAAAACTTTCTTAAAGTAACTGAAAATTCGTCGTCATTAATTTTTTCGATGTTCTCAAATTTAGAAAATGACAATTAAGATGCCTTGAAAATGAAAATATTCATGTAGGAGATTTTCAAACAAATGGCATGTCATGCGCAGAAACTTTTGGGGCGGCGCTCGTATTTCTGAAACTCAAACTCAGTTCTTGATTGGTCGCTGGAACCCAGTGACTGTTCGACACAAAATCGTGCTTCGATGAAAGGGTGAATGAACAAGCCGCCAAGATCCGCTAGAAAACTAATCTCGTTTCCTGTCATGAAAACTGGATTTGCATACATCTCAGATGATATAAAATGCGCACAATTGTAGACAAATTGTTTTGTCCCGTCATACGCGCGAAAGCACCCGGCACACAAATAGAATGCTTAGAAACTGACACAGAAGTGACGCTACGTGGCGGCACATCATATTTCCACGATGGCGACTACAGTATGTAGACAAATTGTTTTGACCCGTCATACGCGCGAAAGCACCCGGCACACAAATAGAATGCTTAGAAACTGACACAGAAGTGACGCTACGTGGCGGCACATCATATTTCCACGATGGCGACTACAGTAATTCCCTTCGTGTGAAAACTTCGTGTGAAAACTGAATGGAGGTCACAAGGAACGGGACAGCCCAGGTCAAGAGCTATACATGAATGAGCGAAGTAATAGGACAGGTATTCCTTGGATTTTCCTTCGAGAAATGTCCTGATTTGATCTTCCGCTTTTCCAGCTTAGCTCTCTGGATCAACCCGCGTTTGCTCTTCAAGAGCATCGAGAATGCTTTTTCGAAGATTTTGCGTCATCAGCTAAACCATAACAGAAGCAAAGATAAGCTCTGACAGAAATCTTCAGATCAAAATCTGACACGAAGAAACCGTACCATTTGGAGCAGCACTCCAATCTTATGGATTCTTATACTATTTGCAGTCATGTTCATCAGACCTGTGTCACAAAAAGATTCAGCGCTGCATCAACAAACCTTATTCAAGTGATTACTGCCACCCCTTGATTTTTGGGGAAATAAGTGTTCTAAAATCGCGAAAACGAAATTACCTGTGACGTTCAACATTTTATTGATAAAATATACGTTTACGAACACGCTCAACTGGTTGATATCGAACTAAGAAGTGGCTGCGGACCACATGGCGAGAGTGGAGTTCCTCGTGGAACAGTATTTTCCGAAGTATTTTTCAATTCAACTCTGCTTTCAAGTAACATAAAATTTTAAAAATGAGAATTTTTCCAGTTTTTGACACCGTAATGACTTGAAAATTTAAAAATACATTAAAAGGAAATTCGTTCCGTTTTCAGATCGAGATACTTCATGAAAATAGGTTGTAACCGAACACCATACCTTTTCTGGCTTTCGAACTCGGGAATCACCGCAAAAAGTGGTTGATACTGGTTTGATCCAAACCCTCATCGAGAAAAAAAAAAATTCCATACCATTTTTGAACACGGTGGCAGTGCATTTTTTGAAACGCACCTTTGTTTTGGTATTTGGGGGAAGGTTGTAAAATAAATCAGGATGGAACGGCTTTTAGATGGCGCAAAAATGCCACAACTCGAACACGACGGAAGAAGTGCAAATTAAACTACTGTATTAAATTTGGGGAGCTGGATGCTGGGATTTATTCATTTTTACTTTTTGCATCTCAGCAAGAGGCTGGTGAATACAGTAATTTTAAATCGATCAATAGAGGAGGATTTGACTTTTGCTCTTTTGTCATCCATCGAATTCTTCAGGGTTTGCTGATGGTGCATAAAACAAGGGAACAACCAATTTCGTCCTTTTCCAGATTCTCCGTGTTCTGCTCAGAATAAACTTCGCGTTATTCATCCAATGAATGAAGAATACGGATGGGGTCACGCCAATGCAGTTCGGGCCATGAAGTCAACAATACAACTTGAAATACAAATGGATAGCTGTCGCACTTTTGTTTTACGTTATTCTTGAACACAAACATTCACCGGATATTAGTGATTTCTTCAATTTTTTATATTTTCAGTTTCAACCCAAGATGCTGATTGTTGAAAATGCTTCTGCCAGCCATCTATTGAACAGCACACTCATACAGGAAGGACAAGAAACGAGTGACCGCATCCACTTACAATATTTCGTTCACTCATGGGTCTTATTACGCCCCAGGTGATTTACCGGGCGGAAATATTTCTCGGATTCTCGAATGATATTAGTTCATTAGGACGACGGGTCCTTCTGAAAACCCCGCAACGCGATGAAAGCTGACATAGCCCTTTCACGCTCGACGCATCCGATACATTTCAGCCGTGAATCCACTACAAACTGAGGCTCTCGGAAGATTGATGATCCAGCACACTCGTCTAACGATGACACAGATTGATGCTCACCTTCAGCTGTTTTGGAGTGATGCCGTAGAAGGTGAAGTCTTCGTCATACTCCGGATTTTGGGTTTTCCGCAGTACCCGGGTCTTCACCTTATGATCCTTGTCCGGCAGCAGCTGCAGTTTGACGTATGGGTCGTTGTTGCCCATTGTCGTGTCTCTCGCTGGCAGGCCCCTGCATTTGACGATCGTCACTAGGAGGGCCATTTTCTCCTCCATATACCTGCAGGACAAAAGAAAACGTGTATTAAGGAACGGTTCTGGCCCAAGAGCCCGCGATCTCTGTTCGGTTCATGGCTGGCGTCGAGATTCGACTCGAGGAAGACGCTGTTGGCTGCAAGACAAGATTGATGATTCCCGTACACAGGCTTTTTATTTTTTTTACGCGACTCGACCATCCTTCGGCTGTTACGTTGACCTCCAAACAATTCTCCGATGTTGCACGGCCATGTCGGAATCAGGAGTGCACCCGCTGAAGAAGAAATGAACGCGAAGCCATCCACGACAGAATTTCCCTTGAAACATCCCACCCCCCACAGGAACGAGATCTTCCAATTGCGAACAATGAAGTATTCTCCTCTATTCTGGAATTCGGACGCTCTTAACTTCTTCGACCCGTGCTGAGAAGAAAACACAGGGATCCCGAACTTAGCTTTGAACGACAGGAGAAGATTTGTAGGAGTCTCAGCCGTGATTCTGAACACTACCTGCTTCAACTGCTGATCAGATCAACGACTTCGAAACTGGACGTGATTTCCTCTAAAAAAAAAATTTTTTTCGTCTAGAATATAACAAGCTAGCAGGACAAGGAGGAAATCTGATTTTCTTCAAAACGCACAGCTTCAGAAGGGAAGCTTTCAGGGCATTGGCGAGCACGTAAAATGCGAAACGAAGCTTCAAAATAAATTTAGTTTTCAATTGTTCCGGGAATGTCAAACTGTTTGATTATATGAGTCACGCGCGTTGTTCGCCAAATAAATCAACTAATGCGACAGAACGATGTGATTAAATTAAATTACATTCGAACAGAATCAGAACAATTACCGTGGACCTCCTCTGTCCGGAGTAATTGGCGGATGTTATCTTTCGGATAATTAAAAAACAAAATGTTTAAAAAATCCCATCCCTCAATGAGCTCAAATACTGTAATTGATATTGATTCAAAATTCCTGAAACGGGATGAGCGATCTAAAATTAATCAAATCATAGAAAAATGCATGGGATCATGAGAAGTCATGGCTGGTGAATCATGCTGCAAGGGTTGTAAAATCCTAAATTTCAAATGTTTCCTGGGACGGGGTTACCCCACATCATGGTTCATCGAAGCATGGATACGCAGTGATCTGAGTGTGAAGATGAGCTGCGAACAACGTTACACTTGGGATACTTCGAGAATGGAATAAGTCGGCCAATAATGGGTTCACTAAATAATACCTGACTTACGTACGAACAAATGACAAAGAGCAATTTTTTTTTTACTTGGACTGGGGGTCTTCTTGGCACCTTGGGGGAGGGATTTACAGTATTGTACGAACTCTGGAGTACATCACATTTCGAACATTCGCGCACGGGATGTGTCCCCAATAGGATAAATGGAACTGTCGAGCCCCTTCAAGCCGATCTTCACTCACCGGATGCGGAAGTACAGATGACCGAGGGNATGAAGAATACGGATGGGGTCACGCCAATGCAGTTCGGGCCATGAAGTCAACAATACAACTTGAAATACAAATGGATAGCTGTCGCACTTTTGTTTTACGTTATTCTTGAACACAAACATTCACCGGATATTAGTGATTTCTTCAATTTTTTATATTTTCAGTTTCAACCCAAGATGCTGATTGTTGAAAATGCTTCTGCCAGCCATCTATTGAACAGCACACTCATACAGGAAGGACAAGAAACGAGTGACCGCATCCACTTACAATATTTCGTTCACTCATGGGTCTTATTACGCCCCAGGTGATTTACCGGGCGGAAATATTTCTCGGATTCTCGAATGATATTAGTTCATTAGGACGACGGGTCCTTCTGAAAACCCCGCAACGCGATGAAAGCTGACATAGCCCTTTCACGCTCGACGCATCCGATACATTTCAGCCGTGAATCCACTACAAACTGAGGCTCTCGGAAGATTGATGATCCAGCACACTCGTCTAACGATGACACAGATTGATGCTCACCTTCAGCTGTTTTGTAGTGATGCCGTAGAAGGTGAAGTCTTCGTCATACTCCGGATTTTGGGTTTTCCGCAGTACCCGGGTCTTCACCTTATGATCCTTGTCCGGCAGCAGCTGCAGTTTGACGTATGGGTCGTTGTTGCCCATTGTCGTGTCTCTCGCTGGCAGGCCCCTGCATTTGACGATCGTCACTAGGAGGGCCATTTTCTCCTCCATATACCTGCAGGACAAAAGAAAACGTGTATTAAGGAACGGTTCTGGCCCAAGAGCCCGCGATCTCTGTTCGGTTCATGGCTGGCGTCGAGATTCGACTCGAGGAAGACGCTGTTGGCTGCAAGACAAGATTGATGATTCCTGTACACAGGCTTTTTATTTTTTTCTACGCGACTCGACCATCCTTCGGCTGTTACGTTGACCTCCAAACAATTCTCCGATGTTGCACGGCCATGTCGGAATCAGGAGTGCACCCGCTGAAGAAGAAATGAACGCGAAGCCATCCACGACCGAATTTCCCTTGAAACATCCCACCCCCCACAGGAACGAGATCTTCCAATCGCGAACAATGAAGTATTCTCCTCTATTCTGGAATTCGGACGCTCTTAACTTCTTCGACCCGTGCTGAGAAGAAAACACAGGGATCTCGAACTTAGCTTTGACAGGAGAAGATTGTAGGAGTCTCAGCCGTGATTCTGAACACTACCTGCTTCAACTGCTGATCAGATCAACGACTTCGGAACTGGACGTGATTTCCTATCTCAAAAAAAAAAAATTTTTCGTATAGAATATAACAAGCTAGCAGGACAAGGAGGAAATCTGAATTTCTTCAAAACGCACAGCTTCAGAAGGGAAGCTTTCAGGGCATTGGCGAGCACGTAAAATGCGAAACGAAGCTTCAAAATAAATTTAGTTTTCAATTGTTCCGGGAATGTCAAACGGTTTGATTATATGAGTCACGCGCGTTGTTCGCCAAATAAATAATTCTCGGATCAAAGCAACGCCAACTAATGCGACAGAACGATGTGATTAAATTCTTACATTCGAACAGAATCAGAACAATTACCATGGACCTCCTCTGTCCGGAGTAATTGGCGGATGTTATCTTTCGGATAATTAAAAAACAAAATATTAAAAAAAATCCCATCCCTCAATGAGCTCAAATACTGCAATTTATATTAATTCAAAATTCCTGAAACGGGATGAGCGATCTAAAATTGATCAAATCATAGAAAAATACATGGGATCATGAGAAGTCATGGCTGGTGAATCATGCTGCAAGGGTTGTAAAATCCTAAATTTCAAATGTTTCCTGGGACGGAGTTACCCTACATCACGGTTCATCGAAGCATGGATACGCATTGATCTGAACGTGAAGATGAGCTGCGAACAACGTTACACTTGGGATACTTCGAGAATGGAATAAGTCGGCCAATAATGGGTTCACTAAATAATACCCGACTTACGTACGAACAAATGACAAAGAGCAATTTTTTTTTTCTTACTTGGACTGGGGGTCTCCTTGAAGGAGGGATTTACAGTATTGTACAAACTCTGGAGTACATCACATTTCGAACATTCGCGAACGGGATGTGTCCCCAATAGGATAAATGGAACTGTCGAGCCCCTTCAAGCCGATCTTCACTCACCGGATGCGGAAGTACAGATGACCGAGGGTCTTCGAAGTTATTTGGTTCTGACGTTCCTGTTCGGTCTGGAACTTAACGATCTCCTGAATCTCAGTCTGCGGACTCAACGATGGGCGTTTCTTCGTCGAGGGGCAGGTCGGGAACGAGCCGCCAGCCTCGGGCGGTGTGACAGCTTTCGGCGTCGACGACGGCAGCAAATGCGGTACGGGCATCGATTGATTTCCCGGCGGCGACGGCGTCTTGGATTTTCCACCGGGAGGAGTCCTGAATCCGGAGCTGGGACTGGGACTCTTGCGCAGGTAATGACTCTGTGTACCAGGACTTTTCACCGCCGTTGGTTTCCTGATGGATACAGGATTGTCGAAGAACATGTACAACATGTACTCTCAAGAAGAAGGTTTCAACATTCGGCTAATAATCTGCTCAAAAAGCATCTGCGACCTCTTTCTATCAGGCATGACAAATAAAATAAAATCACGGCACAGAATGCCTTTCCTTGATAATGAAATTCGCTACAACCCGGCAACAGATCACTACAACGTTATTAAAAAAAAATTCCTCATTAAAACTGGGCCTCAAACTACGAACTCACCAAAGAACAAGAAACACTAAAAACAAACAGCGCGGAGGCTTGTGGGCTTATTCAACTTCAAATCTGCCCATTTGTCAAGGCTCCTGTCATTTTCTGATAAAACATGGAGTTATACTGCATTGCTTCATGGAATATTTTCATGGTTTAATGCTACGTTTTTCTCTCCTGTCACGAGGGGTTGTCCTCTGTGTCACTCGCAATTTTCATTTCTGGCGACGGTCGAAAATTGCATTTTTTCGTTCATGCGCATAGTTCACCAAGAAATACCGCCCACTCAATGTAAAAGGAAATTCCTGTCACGAGGGGTTGTCCTCTGTGTCACTCGCAATTTTCATTTCTGGCGACGGTCGAAAATTGCATTTTTTCGTTCATGCGCATAGTTCACCAAGAAATACCGCCCACCCAATGTAAAAGGAAAAGAAAAGGACATTTAAATTTTTTAAGTCACCCAAGGTCAGGAGTGCAACATTATATGATTTTACACACGCAAAAATCGGCGGAAATTCCGATGAACAATTCAGCGTCTACATAGAGTATTAGGAATTAATGTAGCAATATTTCACACAATACGACAAAATGGTTCATTTAAATTTAATCATTCCCAGAACTGCGACTCAAATGTTTTCAAACAGAAGTTAATTTTGCGAAAAATTGGTCAAGTTTTTTTTGTCCAAGGGAAGAATAGTGCTTCACTCACTCCCCTGAAGATTGATTGAGAATATTCTTGAAAACGAACTCCTCAAAATATGAAAACTCCGTCAGAACGCATTCGAGTCGTATTTTGAAGAACCAGTCTTCCCCAAGATAGAAACGCAATCTCGTAGAAGTTAACATTTGCATTACGAGAGAACAATTATCAATCGCCGGGGGCCTTAAAAAAGTGATCAGAAAGAAAATTCGAACTCCCTCCGGTTTTCAATTACGGGAGTACTCCTGAAAAGTTAACTTCGCCGGCCGTGAGCTTGTCACACGGTTGATCGGGAGCCCCGGAAAATCCACGAAAATTTCATCAACCCGACAATGGCGTGCGTCTTGGGTGACAAAGTGTAGTCAGAACCACTCCACCGTTTGAAGGAACGTGTTCGCCCTTTCTGTCTCAGTTTAATGGAATGAGCTTCGTTCATTTCGAGAACGGCGACTCATCAATAAAAATCGCTATTCGTAATCCGAAGCTCAAGATCATTCAGAAATATCAAGATCCTGAGCTACACATCTCGGGCAAGAATTTTGACTCACCGACGTGAAAGTGTATTTTCCCCCTTTCTACTGCCAAATTATCTTCCACTCGGTCTCATAATACCTCATGGCTTGCGCTACCAAATAAGTTCAGCGAGAATTATCCCAGTAGTAAATGGATCTCTCTGGAGCAAACGAACATTTCCTGCTAACCACTCACCGAAAGTTCATTGGTCGCTCCGGAAACTTCCTCGTATAGGGCTTGTAGTGGTAAGCCCTCCGCCTGTAGCACAAGCAGCTCACCGCCAACATCGACACAAGGAATACCGACGCTCCAAGGCATATTCCAACCAGGGCCGGAGTGCTGACAGCAAAATAAATCAAAATACATAGGAAAACGTGATGGTGTGCCAGATCCACATCTGAATAATTAAATATCACGGATAATCTGACGCCAAAATACACTCAACAGACAGAAGAAAAAATCCAAGGATCACCTGAAAAAATACAGGAACTACCGACATTGCGTAAAGATCTCGAAGTACGATAGGCCGGATACAGTACTTAGGCTGCCTTGGTTTCCTCTCAAGGAGCAAATTTATAAATTTATTTGAACTGTTTACAAAACTTAATATTTGGAGCTTCGCTGTCGATCCGGAAACCACAGTAGAACTGAATGCGTAAACTTGCTGAACACTGATATAATGTGAATAATGTTTTCCTGTCATTAATACATTTACAGTATTATGGGAATGTTTGATTAATTGCTTTTCAGGGGTGGAACAGACACGACGCGTTGCATCCACATAAGCTAAACCAAAGGTGCCCAAGATACGGCCCGCGGGCCAGATCTGGCCCGCAGAAGCCTTCAAACTGGCCCGTGGACCCCAAAGATATAGTACGACCCCCGCGGGCCCATAGGCGCCGCCATCATGGCCCGCACAAAAGGCCTAAACGCGACATCGACTGTTTTTCTTACTTTGTTACGCCGCACCAATCCGAACCGGCTGACGCAATGTACGCACGCGCTTGCGTCAACCGACTCGCGCCCGTACCCCTGAGGCCTTAGAGAGCCTCACTTTGTCTATAGCTCCTGAACCGAGCGGTCGTCACGCGAACCAGTGCCTTTTATTGTGCGTACTGTGTATTGTCATAATTATAATCCGCTACCTGAGTGAGTGCAATAAACCGCTACCGTTGTGTTCTACTCTGTGTATGTGTTAGTGCAAGAAGGTGCCAGCGCCTGATTGTGTGTGTAGAGACTAGAAAGTCTTACTGGGGGGTCAGCCGCGCGAAACGAACCATGGCGAACCCAAATGAGCGAATTGTGCAAAGTGAGCTGGACGAACCGTCCCCAAGCCCCTCAAGTGATTCCGCATCGGCGTTCGCCCAAAGCTATTGCAACAACAATCAGTGGGCACATCTCATGCTCCCAGCCATACGATCGTACTGTGCGTCCTCACAAATCCCACATCTGGGAAACCGCGACGAACTCGTCGCAGCGCTCCAAGCGCAAGGCGTACAGCCCATCAACGTCCTCCAAAACACGACACCGGGCCCCTCGGCCAGTCCTTCCGCCGCAGAACTCACGGCCAACATAACCGAAACGCTGCTCCGACGCCGGGCAGACTTTCCAAAACAGGCCAAAGGAGAAGACTTCGAAGTCTACCTCCGACGACTGGAGATAGCATTCAGTCACGACGGGACGTCAAACAACACCAAGATCGACTGCCTGATCGGGCACACGACACCTACAGTCGCGGCGGCCGCCCAACGACTGTACAACGAGGGCTACCACAATTACGACGACATCGCCGAGCGGCTCAAAATACAATTCGGGCTCTCGCCCTTCGAACATTTCACGCGATTCCTTGCTCTACGCCCACTCGAAGATGAATCATGGGCACAGTTCGGGAATCGCCTACGATGCGAATACATTCGCTATCTACCGCTCAGCGCAACCGACCTACCCGGACAGGAGAAATCCATCACAGCTGCCCTCATCGGGCAACTCCTAGCGATCACCACAGGAGGGCTCCATGCCCATCTCTACTCCAAGGCAACCGCCGATCGAACCCTAACATGGGTCAACTGCCTTGCATACGCGGACAAATACCGCCGCATGCACCCCAATACGCCACGAGCATCACCCGCTCCACAGAGCCAACAACAAACCAACCGACGACCAAAAACCACGGCGTCCGGCGTACAGAAACATTACTGTGACCATCACCAACGGTACGTCCTACACACGACCGCAGAATGCTCGCTCGGGCAGAACCCACGGCCCAACACAGCCATGGGTAACCAATCACCACGAAACCTGCAATCGTGTACTTATCACCCAGGCCGCCTGGTCGCACACTCGACAGCGGAATGCCGAAACAACACGGCCAACCAGGTAAACACACCTAACACGCAAACAGTCCAGCCAACTGAATGTGTGCAATGCGGACTTACAGGTCACACGGCGGCAAACTGCCCGAACCAGGGAAACGCCAAGATCGGGCAGTGATGGCTGTCCTCTGCTTGATCCCCCAAGATACAGACAACAGCCTCACGATCATTGGAATCAAGAACAAACGCGTTACAGCGCTGATCGACACTGGAGCCACCAGGTCATTCATGGCAACCGACATCACAGCAGAAGTAGGGCTCACACCCCACCCGACGAAAGCGAAGATCTCCGCAGCCGTCTTACACATCTCTGCCGACGTCAGCCACTCGGTAAGTACCACATTCTCACTTGGTTCAGCCGACTACTCCGCGACCTTCTTTCTCCTCGCAAACGCAAGATACCCCATAATTCTTGGCCTCAACACACTAAAAAACCTCCCGTTTTGTGTAACGCTCAACGGCCAACGAATCTTTTCCGGATTCCAAACCATAAAACCCATAAACGAGATACCACAAGCCAAACCCGGCGAAGGAATTACGTTCGTAAACGGCTCCCCCGCAGAACAGAACGCGATTGCAAAACTACTGACCACATACAAAGACAACATCTTTCAATGGTCAGGAAAACACGGCCTGTTCCCCCAACACGTAGCATCCATCCCAACAAACGGCCAAGACCCTGAGCCACCAAGGCGCATACGCCTGTCGCCCGACAAGATACCAGCGATGACAGAAATTCTCGCCAATTATACCAAAGCCGGCATCATCGAACTGGCACAGTCCACGGTCAACTCACCGGCATTCCTCACACCGAAAGACGAGAACCCAAACGCACCGGCAATCCGAAGATGGCGCCTAGTCAAAGACTACCGCGAAATCAACAAAGTCATACTGGCAGACAACTACCCAATGCCGGTGATCCAAGACATCCTCAATGCCCCGGGCAGACAAAACGCATACTTCTGCTGCCTGGATCTGCACTCTCGGTATCACCACATACCCATAGCCCACGGCGACCGCCACAAAACGGCATTCACAATCCCGACCGGGCAGATGCAATATACAGTCATGCCATACGGACTCAAAACCGGCCCGGCCATATTCCAGAGGACCATGGAAACAATACTCCGCCAGCACCTCTACAGCCAATGTCTCGTGTACATAGACGACATCATCGTCTTCGGCACTACATTCGACCAAGTGCTACAAAAGCTCTCCGAGGTGTTACACACCCTAGCGACCGCAGGGGCATCCATCGACATCTCCAAGTCCAAGTTCTTGGCAGAATCTATTCATTTCCTGGGACACATCGTCGACAAGACCGGGACGCGACCAGCCGAAGAACACCTCAAAGCAGTCCAAGCGTTCCCCAAACCCGAAACCATGAAACAAATGCAGAAGTTCCTGGGTCTCGCAACGTACCTGCGCTGGCATGTACCAACAAACTTTGCAAACCTCGAAAAGACTCTTCGAAACACGATACCCGTGAAACCGGCCACGGCACTCAAATGGACACCCGAAGCAGACACCACCTTTGAGGCCTTGAAACAGGCGATCGCCAATGCCACACGCCTAGAACGTTTCGAACCACAGTGGGACACTGAAGTCCACTGCGACGCCTTGGCCACCGCCATCGGCGCAATCCTAGTGCAGATAGACCACGACGGACAACCACACATCATCAAGTACGCCAGCCGAGTCCTAACGCCGGCAGAGACCCGCTACTCCAACACCCAAAGAGAACTACTAGCAGCAGTGTGGGCGACTATCAAAAAATTCCGACACTATGTCGAACACCGACAATTCAAAATTGTCACGGACCACAAGGCATTACTTGGAGAATTAGTCGACACCCGACTCATCGCTCTCCGCCTAAAACTGGAACCATTCCAGCATACGTTCGTACACCGACCGGGCAAAACCCTCACGGGACCAGACGCCCTCAGTCGAATCCAGCTCAACAGCATACAACTCTGCGAAGTACCCGATCCAGGGCAGCGCGCAGAGATCATCGACCAATATCATGTGGAAATGGGCCACACCAACTGGAAGAAGACTTTTGATACGATACGAAAAAGATTCACCTGGCCCGGCATGCGTACCGACATCTTCCATCATGTCCTACAATGCGCCAAATGCTTCACGTTCAACTCGGCGACCGCCGCAGTCAGCACTAAACTCACACCCGTCCCGCCCGCAGACAAACACGACCGTCTAGGCGTCGACTTCTGGGGACCTTTCCCCCCATCAACAAATGGGAATCGATACGCCATAGTCGCAATCGACTACTACTCGCGCAGAGTGGTAACCACACCCGTCAAATGAGCAACAGCGAACGCCCTATGCAGTTTCCTAGCAGACGTATTCGCCCAAATGGGGACATTCGAAATTATCCACTCGGATGGAGCAGCAGTGTTCAACTCAGCGCCGTACAAGAGGTTCATCACAGCAAACCAAATTGCGTCCCACATCGCCCAGCCATATCACCCAGAAGGCAACGGCGCTTGTGAAAGGGCTATCAAATCGCTGTCAGCAATAATAGCCAAGACAGCACCAACACCCACCACGTGGGATGAAGTCTTACTCGACGCAGCAATCGCATATAACCGTATGCCTCACACGGCCACCGGTCTACCACCCATCGAACTCTGGCACAAAAAGCCAATCCCCACCCCCACCGACATAAAATTTGAGATACCCACCAGGGATATATCCCAGGAACTCAAACTAGTCAAAGCACGTAACCAAAAATACCGCAAATGGTACATACACCAAGCGAATAAAAACCGCCGGCCCGCATTCAAGCTCGACCAAATGGTTACCCTCAGGCCACGCCTGGAGACGACAGAAAAACATGCCGCCAACCGGCGATTCTTACCAAAACGCTTTGGACCCTTCTGTATCACGGCAGTCCTAGGCGAAGCAAAATATTGCATCCAGACTCCAATGGGTGATCGACAGGCAAATGCCTGGGAGTTGCAAGCTTATAACTTCCCCGTCGCGCCACCCCCGACCATACCAAAGCACCTAGTCCAACAAAAAAGTACAAATTCTTTCTGTTCACAGGACATGGACGAAACCGACCGGCCTCAATTTCGCCTCGACCCAGGGACACTTGACACTACGAGCGAATCCGACGACGAAGCTCAGCCCGGGACGAGCTCCCCCGCAGCGCGTCCAGCATGCAACGACCCCAACCCGGGCCCAGCCATACCAGACTGCGATCTGCCACGGACTCCCACAGGGACGTCGCCAATATTGAGCGTCGACATTCCACAATTCAACAGCCCTCCCCAGCAACCGACACCGTCGCCTCATCCGGATCTGACAACCGACGCAAACGCCGATTCCCCAGCTCCAGTAGCTCCGAATCGTCAGTGGAGGAAGCGCCAACGGACATCAAGCCCCGCCGCCGGACCCTTGCACAACCGCTCGACGGCACCGGACCCATTACCGACGACGACTACTAGCCACAGCCACCGGACATCAACAGGATCTCAAGACGCCCAAGGACCTGGACCGAAACACCGCCGCCGACGGCCCTCGCGATATTGTCAGCCTTGGCCTCCTCCTCCCTCGTTTTTTCGCCGCCGCCGGCACCTTTCCTTTTCGGGGGGGGGGGGGGGGGGGGGA